TGCGATGCATTATGACTGATTAACGTATCTAGTTGTCTGTCTAGTAGTTCTTCCATAATTTTCCTATCTGTGTTTATTTGCCTTGCTATTAGAAATCAAACTGAAAAACATAACAAAGTCTGTAGCTCACAAACGTAACTGTTAACATGCCGTGGAAAAACTTATGTAAAAGACTGTTTTTGAAATATTTTAGGTTTAGAAATAAATTAAAAAATAACTACATTTATGATAAATGCAAAATCTATTTAAAACGTTAGTATACAGAACTTAATGCAATATTTTTAAAAAATGTTGATAAAAAATATTTTACATGTTTCAAAGGCTTTCTAGAAATTGACCAAGAACTTGATTCGTGTTGTAAGATTGACTTGATTGCTTCCCTTGTTGAGTGGGGAAATGTTGATCTGCCCTTGGTTGGACTAGCCATCGACTCTAACGAGTGACAAAGTATAATTTGATTATGTCCCTTTGGTCTTCGGCCTTCTTTGTTGTGAGTTTTTTTTTCTTCTTTCATTTCTCTTCATTGCGGGTATGGTGGGGAGTGGGGGAGTGGAAGATTATTTTACATGTGGGTTCAACTTTCGGGGTTTGACATTTAAGTTAAACTTTGTGGGTTCAACATTTGATGAAAATTTGTGGATTTAGCTTGTGGGTTTAACATTTGGGTTAAACTGTGTGGGTTTGACATGCTCGTTTAACTTGGTGGGTTAGCTTGTGGTGTCCAGCTTTATGCACTTAACAAGTGTGACTAACTTTGAGCTTTAAAGCTCTAAACTTGAAATAAACTTACTTTAACACACGCCAGATTTTTATTATTGTCATCTATTTCATAATATTTTCATCCTTTTTGTTTAGACGACATTGAAATCTTGTCATTGTTTCATAATGTTTTCATCCTTTTGTTTAGACGACATTGAAATCATGTCATTGTTTCATGATGTTTTCATCCTTTTGTTTAGATGACATTAAAATGATGTCATTGTTTCATAATGTTTTCATCCTTTTGTTTAGACCACATTGAAATCATGTCATTGTTTCATAATGTTTTCATCCTTTGTTTAGACGACATTGAAATCATGTCATTGTTTCTTAATGTTTTCATCCTTTTGTTTAGACCACATTGAAATCATGTCATTGTTTCATAATGTTTTCATCCTTTGTTTAGACGACATTGAAATCATGTCATTGTTTCTTAATGTTTTCATCCTTTTGTTTAGACATCATGTCATCTGTTTCATCATGTTTTCATCCATTTGTTTAGACATCATGTCATCTGTTTCATCATGTTTTCATCCTTTTGTTTAGACATCATGTCATCTGTTTCATCATGTTTGTCGCTAGGCGGAGGCCACGTTATGTGTACAAATAATGTTTACTTATGTCTGCAGGCTTTTATGTGTTTTTATGTGTTTGAGTTTACATGGTTTTACATGTATGTTGTTACGGGTCTGTTGTAGGTTAGATAAGAAATGGTTAGAATATTCTCGAAAGTGGGGAAGAGGGTGTGTGAGTTAGAAATTCTCGAACGTAGGGGAGAGGGTATGTGAGTTAGAATATTCTATTTAATAGAAAGGTGACATAAATCTGCTAGCAATCAAAGTAAAGAATCTTGCAAGTTTTATGAAGTAAATGGTTGTACGAATGACTGAGGTTTCTGAGATTTCAATGTATGTTTCGTTTTATTGATAGCTCATTGATTATTATTGATATTATAAAAGCGGATATTTCGCTGTATAAAGCTTGTTTATTTATTTCAAATCTCACACATTTCTTCAATGTAGTAGTTTTAGCCATGGGTAATACAGGTTTAGGACTTGACGATGTGTCAATCATCCGTGTATCATCCAATTTAGTTGTCAAGGTTGGATGACTTCCTTTTCTCGCTCCAGTTAAAATAGGTTTGAACGAAGTCCTACCCCTATCCATTTACATACTCAGATCATTATCCATACCCCTATCCATCTCTACACTCACATCATAGCCCTTAACCTAACAGTCTATCCCAGGGGTCGGCAACCTTTTGGGACTGAAGAGCCAAAAGTTACAATTTTCCACATTTCACAGTTTTTAAAGAGCCACAAACACTTTTATTTCAATTTTATGATAGTTGATTAGGTATATATATATATATATATATATATATATATATATATATATATATATATATATATATATATATATATATATATATATATATATATATATATATATATATATATATATATATTTATATATACATTACATTTAAAATAAATAGCTTAAAATATATAATATTTATTCATATAAAAACATACACATGTTTCGAACAAAACATATTAAAGTCGTTTAGCAAGCTCTGCTCGAAATTAGAAACTTTACATGGTTATTAGATCTATATCTTTAATTACCGAGTATTGCAGACTAATATTTTTATGAGTTTTAAAAATAAATTAAAATAATTATTAATATTTGTGCATGGAGCTGAAGAGCCGCATCTTGACATCAAAAGAGCCGCATGCGGCTCGCGAGCCGCAGGTTGCCGACCCCTGGTCTATCCCTAGCTATATCATTATCCTTATCATTTCCAACCTCTGTTCAAATCTCTAAACATATCCCCAATCATATTTTAACACATCCATATTCGTATCTTAACAGTAGGGAGTAATACAATTTACAGGAGCTTCTGTCCTAGGCTTACAGCAGTTTATTTAGCTGAGATGGTGATAAAGTATGAGTAATTGGCAGGGGATAATAACGGGGGTAAAACTAATAGATTGGGGGGGGGGGGGGAGTAATGTCATTCTCCAAGACAATATGTTTTTAAGTGTGTTATGATGTGAGTTGTTTGTATAACACAATGTTTTGATTAGAATGTAAAGTGTGAAGCCTGAATGTATTGCATTATATATGGTACATTCTTCACGTACATGAGGTACAAGTAATGTTTTGAACAAAGACATTACCATATGCAGTTTGTGTTTATACATTACTAATTCATTAGCATGAAATGGTAAACCCCACTCCTACTTGAAAACATAAAATATTATTGGTTGATGTTTCACGTGCTAAAGATGACATGAAAGTTTGTCCATTTTTCCAATGATTCCTTCTATTTAAAGATGATATGAGAGTTTGTACAATCGTTCTATTTAAAGAATTAGCCTCAAGATGGCAAAAAACCCGAGATTCTAAGAAGTGAGTTGAGGATTTATCATCCCTTGACAGACCTGCGATACTCTTCATTATCTCGTACGTGCACAGTTATGTTCAAGTAGGCTAACACCAGGATTAGGAAGTGAAAAGCAACGTAAACATCGTTAATTATCTTTATTTCCTCAACAATAGCATACTGACGCGTTATGATGTGTGATATGACCATAGACCATAACTGAGCATCCCATTTAATAGCATATTAAACTAAATCATTTGATCACCCACAATATCCATACTTCAAACAATAACTGTTGAAATGGATTCAAGTAATGTTATTTCCTGGAAAATATATTATGTAGAGATTTATCATTCAATTTTTTTCTATAAACCAGCTTACATTACATATACTTGTAATAGTTTTTATTATTATTACAAGTTTTTATTTAGTTCGCAACGTCTGTTTCTTTGTTTGTAGTTTGTTTGTGGGTTTGTGGCAAATCTTGCAACTCAATTTTGACCCACTTCTAATGCAGCGATTTCGTTCAAACTTTCCAGATACGTTCCGTTTCGATGACAATACACGTTTATTTATTTTTAAAAATTTAATTAGATGTTTGATTAGTCTTTAAAAATTAAATAACTTATTCAAAACTATGGGGAGATAACAAAATTAAATCACTCGATAGATTACTGATTACTATATCCAATAACAGAAGGGGAGATAACTAGCTAGAAGCTTTAATGAAAGAAAGCAAACTAGTTTAATTTCTTATTTTCAGTGCATTTAAAAGCATGTTTCTGCTTCCAGCTTAAAAAACACGCTGTTACAGTATCTAGTAATGTAGTGTAAATAGCAGTGTGATTCAGAGAGTCAAGCTTCAATTTTAAACGCTAACTTTCTACATTTTATTCATACGAGCACAAGCTAAAGTTTCAAGTGGGCTGAGCTCTACAACTGGGATGTAAAACATGAGATAACAGCAAGCCGGATGACCTTGTTATTAAATGTTCATTGTCTCAGTAAAATAGACGGGCATCCAGGGGCGTAGCGAGGGGGGGGGGCGGGGGGTGCGGACCGCACCGGGTGACACCATTTAGGGGGGTGACACCAAGGCAAAAAATAGCAAAATATATAGAGAAAAACTCGAGGGGGGGGGGGGTGCAAATCGAAAGTTTGAGGGGGGGGGGGGGTGCAAATCGAAAACTTGAGGGGGGGGGTGCAAATCGAAAGTTTGAGGGGGGGGTGCAAATCGAAAACTTGAGGGGGGGGGTGCAAATCGAAAACTTGAGGGGGGGGGTGCAAATCGAAAGTTTGAGGGGGGGGGGGGTGCAAATCGAAAATTTGAAAGTTTGTCCCTGGGAAGGGTCTCTATGCCTCTGGGGGGGGGGGTGACACCATTAAGTGCCGCACCGGGTGACACCCGACCTCGCTACGCCACTGCGGGCATCTGAAGGGAGGGGAAAGGTTGTGGACAACTGTGATACACATCAGTGTAAAGACGTGGTTGTGTCACTCGCTGTAACACTCGGGAGAGTTGTCATTTCATTGGAGCAAAATTTGAATGTTGTCAAGGGAACGGTGACGTAGAAATTAAACCACTTTTTGAATTAGGTGGTGATATACACAGTCATTTCTTTAAATAAAAACTGACGTGCTACAGGAAAACATCATGAAGTATTTAACATAAGATTTGGACTTTAGTTAATGCTAAATTAAAATTAATATGTTTTTAGATAAAATATATTTTCACACAAAAAAAAACAATACATTGTGGCTTTAGAAGTTTGGATTAAGATCTAAATGAAAAGAAGTTTAAATAAAATGGTTAAATATTATTAATTATTTGTTTCTGTAAAGCTCAACTACAATGACTAAAGTCATCAAATTTGGAGATGAACTGAACACAACTAAAGACACAGCCGATGTCTGTGGTTTTGTTGACTTTGTTGACTTTGGCCATAACTCGACCTACAATTTTACCTTGTAAGTAAATATTTTGAAATACTAGTAGCAATTCACTACTGATGTCGTTTTTCTTAGTTTTTTGTGACTTCCGTTTCATTTTTTTTCTGGAACTATTTTATAAAGAACTAGACTACCCGTCACCCGTTGGATAACTGTGGGTTTCGGGGGTCATCCATCAAAAAACATCACGTCTGTCACTCAGAGGCGTAGCGACCCTTTTCTGCGCCCGGGGACAAACTTTTCGATTTGAACCCCCCCCCCCCCGCCCCTCGGCAAGATTTTGATATGCACCCCCCCCCTCAATGTTTCGATGTGCACCACCCCCCCCCCATCTCAAGATTTCAATTTGCACCCCCCACCTCAAACTTTCGATTTGCACCCACCTCAACCTTTCAATTTATTTTTCCAACCCATTTTGGCGCCCCCTAAGGTCGGCGCCCGGGGACATGTCCCCCCCCCCCGCCCCACCCTCCTCGCTACGCTACTGCAGTGTCACTTATCGTCACAAAAAACAGACCCCACATTCAAACATATGTTTTTTATCTTTTAAAAACACCGAAAACAACGATTTCGGACTATCCCTTCATATACTGACGTCACAGGTGACCTACTCAACTCTACTTCACCTGCCCAGTGTCCCGCCAAGTCTCAGACAACATGTTTTTATCGTTTAAAAAAACGATTCCAGCCGAGCATGTCTCTGACCACACTATCCCTTCATATGCTTAGGACAAACAAACAGGTGAACTCTACTTCACCTGCCCTGTGCCCCGCGAGGTTCTGATAGTCAACCTTATCATTCACATGTAGGCCTTAGGAAAAATAATTGAAAACATTGTTGTAAAACGAAAATATATCTTTTTACTATTACTACAGTCATTGTTCTAAACTTTTATACACAATGTGGTTAATCTACCCATGAATATATCAATAAATTAATTAACGGCTTTAAATTAGTTTGTAATTAACAGTGTGTTTAAGAAGGAACAGTATTTACCACTCAAAATACCATTTCACAGCTCTACACATAATGAAGATTCTCCCCAATAACAAATCAGAAAAACAAACAAACAAAAAAATGAGTTATCAAACATCACTATTCAGTCAAAGTTAAGCCATTGTTCTAAAACTTTAAAACAAATGTGGTTAATCTACCTATGAATAAATCAATAAATTAATTAATGTCTTTAAAAAAATGTGTGATTAACAGTCTGTCTGCAATCAAAAATTATTCTCTACCTACATACTATTTTACAGCCCCCCATATACAGCAGTTTCCTTACAGTAAGAAATCAGACAAACAAATAAATATTCAAACATGTAAACAAAGTTGAGTTTTAGTAGTATTAGATTAGATGTGTGTATCCAAGGTATATGTAGTAGTGCTCGTTTGAGGAAGGTGGTAAACACAATTTTGGCTGGTTGAATAGGAAGAAATGGTGTGGTCAGCACTAAGCCCAGTTTTATTTACATGTACCAGGATCAGATCCTTGTCAGAATACGAGCTGGCGAACCGAACTCTAGACTACCAGCTTCACTATTCTCTACCATTCGACCCCACCACGAACTCTAGACTACAAGCTTCACCATTCTCTACCATTCGACCCCACCACGAACTCTAGACTACCAGCTTCACTATTCTCTACCAATGGACCCCACCACGAACTCTAGACTACCAGCTTCACTATTCTCTACCAATCGACCCCACCACGAACTCTAGACTACCAGCTTCACTATTCTCTACCAATCGACCCCACCACGAACTCTAGACTACCAGCTTCACTATTCTCTACCAATCGACCCCACCACGAACTCTAGACTACAAGTTTCACTATTCTCTACCAATCGACCCCACCACGAACTCTAGACTACCAGCTTCACTATTCTCTACCAATCGACCCCACCACGAACTCTAGACTACCAGCTTCACTATTCTCTACCAATGGACCCCACCACGAACTCTAGACTACCAGCTTCACTATTCTCTACCAATCGACCCCACCACGAACTCTAGACTACCAGCTTCACTATTCTCTACCAATCGACCCCACCACGAACTCTAGACTACCAGCTTCACTATTCTCTACCAATCGACCCCACCACGAACTCTAGACTACCAGCTTCACTATTCTCTACCAATCGACCCCACCACGAACTCTAGACTACAAGTTTCACTATTCTCTACCAATCGACCCCACCACGAACTCTAGACTACCAGCTTCACTATTCTCTACCAATCGACCCCACCACGAACTCTAGACTACCAGCTTCACTATTCTCTACCAATGGACCCCACCACGAACTCTAGACTACCAGCTTCACTATTCTCTACCAATCGACCCCACCACGAACTCTAGACTACCAGCTTCACTATTCTCTACCAATCGACCCCACCACGAACTCTAGACTACCAGCTTCACTATTCTCTACCAATCGACCCCACCACGAACTCTAGACTACAAGTTTCACTATTCTCTACCAATCGACCCCACCACGAACTCTAGACTACCAGCTTCACTATTCTCTACCAATCGACCCCACCACGAACTCTAGACTACCAGCTTCACTATTCTCTACCAATCGACCCCACCACGAACTCTAGACTACCAGCTTCACTATTCTCTACCATTCGACCCCACCACGAACTCTAGACTACCAGCTTCACTATTCTCTACCAATCGACCCCACCACGAACTCTAGACTACCAGCTTCACTATTCTCTACCAATGGACACCACCACGAACTCTAGACTACCAGCTTCACTATTCTCTACCATTCGACCCCACCACGAACTCTAGACTACCAGCTTCACTATTCTCTACCAATCGACCCCACCACGAACTCTAGACTACCAGCTTCACTATTCTCTACCAATCGACCCCACCACGAACTCTAGACTACCAGCTTCACTATTCTCTACCATTCGACCCCACCACGAACTCTAGACTACCAGCTTCACTATTCTCTACCATTCGACCCCACCACGAACTCTAGACTACCAGCTTCACTATTCTCTACCAATCGACCCCATCACCAACTCTAGACTACAAGCTTCACTATTCTCTACCAATCGACCCCACCACGAACTTTAGACTACCAGCTTCACTATTCTCTACCATTCGACCCCACCACGAACTCTAGACTACCAGCTTCACTGTTCTCTACCAATGGACCCCACCACGAACTCTAGACTACCAGCTTCACTGTTCTCTACCAATGGACCCCACCACGAACTCTAGACTACCAGCTTCACTATTCTCTACCATTCGACCCCACCACGAACTCTAGACTACCAGCTTCACTATTCTCTACCATTCGACCCCACCACGAACTCTAGACTACCAGCTTCACTATTCTCTACCAATCGACCCCACCACGAACTCTAGACTACAAGTTTCACTATTCTCTACCAATCGACCCCACCACGAACTCTAGACTACCAGCTTCACTATTCTCTACCAATCGACCCCACCACGAACTCTAGACTACCAGCTTCACTATTCTCTACCAATGGACCCCACCACGAACTCTAGACTACCAGCTTCACTATTCTCTACCAATCGACCCCACCACGAACTCTAGACTACCAGCTTCACTATTCTCTACCAATCGACCCCACCACGAACTCTAGACTACCAGCTTCATTATTCTCTACCAATCGACCCCACCACGAACTCTAGACTACAAGTTTCACTATTCTTTACCAATCGACCCCACCACGAACTCTAGACTACCAGCTTCACTATTCTCTACCAATCGACCCCACCACGAACTCTAGACTACCAGCTTCACTATTCTCTACCAATCGACCCCACCACGAACTCTAGACTACCAGCTTCACTATTCTCTACCATTCGACCCCACCACGAACTCTAGACTACCAGCTTCACTATTCTCTACCAATCGACTCCACCACGAACTCTAGACTACCAGCTTCACTATTCTCTACCAATGGACACCACCACGAACTCTAGACTACCAGCTTCACTATTCTCTACCATTCGACCCCACCACGAACTCTAGACTACCAGCTTCACTATTCTCTACCAATCGACCCCACCACGAACTCTAGACTACCAGCTTCACTATTCTCTACCAATCGACCCCACCACGAACTCTAGACTACCAGCTTCACTATTCTCTACCATTCGACCCCATCACGAACTCTAGACTACCAGCTTCACTATTCTCTACTATTCGACCCCACCACGAACTCTAGACTACCAGCTTCACTATTCTCTACCAATCGACCCCATCACCAACTCTAGACTACAAGCTTCACTATTCTCTACCAATCGACCCCACCACGAACTCTAGACTACCAGCTTCACTATTCTCTACCATTCGACCCCACCACGAACTCTAGACTACCAGCTTCACTGTTCTCTACCAATGGACCCCACCACGAACTCTAGATTTCCAGCTTCACTGTTCTCTACCATTCGACCCCACCACGAACTCTAGACTACCAGCTTCACTGTTCTCTACCAATCGACCCCACCACGAACTCTAGACTACCAGCTTCACTATTCTCTACCATTCGACCCCACCACGAACTCTAGACTACCAGCTTCACTATTCTCTACCAATCGACCCCACCACGAACTCTAGACTACAAGTTTCACTATTCTCTACCAATCGACCCCACCACGAACTCTAGACTACCAGCTTCACTATTCTCTACCAATCGACCCCACCACGAACTCTAGACTACCAGCTTCACTATTCTCTACCAATCGACCCCACCACGAACTCTAGACTTCCAGCTTCACTATTCTCTACCATTCGACCCCACCACGAACTCTAGACTACCAGCTTCACTATTCTCTACCAATCGACCCCACCACGAACTCTAGACTACCAGCTTCACTATTCTCTACCAATGGACACCACCACGAACTCTAGACTACCAGCTTCACTATTCTCTACCATTCGACCCCACCACGAACTCTAGACTACCAGCTTCACTATTCTCTACCAATCGACCCCACCACGAACTCTAGACTACCAGCTTCACT